GTTATTACATTGTAACAAACGTTATGTTATTTGTTAGTTTTAAGTTGCGTAACTGTTAGGTTTGGTGTTCAGTGGGTCCTCGCTCTCTCGCCAGTCTCTTTTTCTCTTATATCTTTGAATTTAAATTAATTTCGGTCTCAGGAGTCGTGAGGCTCGAACCCTCGAAGGATGCACTTTTTCGGTGCACAGGCACGGATCAAAACTGCATACCATTACAATATATACATAGAAAACCACGTATATTACATGACGTATTATACTTACCCAACCCTGGGTCAGCCGAATATTAAAAACAAGTACAGACACTATTTTGTACTTCTTTACTCGCGTATTGCAGACTCTTGATAAAAGTACGTTACAAGTTCAAACTCGGACCGGCACAGAGTTCGATGTATCGAATCGTTCGAGACTTTCCTCGAATACAATGCGCCGAACATGAAGCGCACTGCGAGGCGCCAAACTAGAGAACGGCGCGAAATTCAAACCAAACATTGAAATTGTAGTAACTAAAAAGGTTATTCCATAACAAGACTGTAAAAGATAATTTCTGCTTTTTTAGTGTGTGGAACTCGACCCAGAGTTAGAAGAATTATCAACGGAACATCCGTAGGGGACAACGAATATCCATGGGTGGTTGTTATCAGGAAAAATGGCGCCTATCAATGCCCTGGATCATTGATCACCCCAAAACACGTCGTCACTGCAGCCCATTGTTTAACAGAGTACGTAATGTTTTAGAGGATATGAAAGGCTCTATGAAATTTAATCCAGCTCGAGAAACTAAGATTCATGTATACCCTTTTTGGTGGAAACGTCAATTTGAATACTCAAATGGGAACATAAGTTGGCGCGTCTCGTTACCGACATTTATATTAATGCTGAAGTCTTTTACAGTTTACGTTGAGAATTATACGAACCGAAGGGTTCTACATGCCATTTCGGTAAAGTAATGATAAAAAGATCGATGTAAAACTGTCGAAATCCCATGAATTCATGATTGTTTATATTTTTACGAACCAACGTCGCCATCTGTGATGTTTAGCTGCAACTAAATTTTTCCTCTAAAACATGTTACCCACAGGACGAGCCAGCATTCTCTTGCAATTGTTGGTGAAAGTATTTACCACATTTTAATATATACCACCTCTTAAGAGGATATGAAAGGAGCTAAGAAACTTAATCGACGTCGATAAAGTGAAATTCATCTGTACCCTTTTTGGGGAAAATACCATTTTCAATATTCTAGTGGGAACATAAGTTGGCGCGTTCCATTACCGACATTTATATTCATGTCGAAGTCTTTTATAGTCTACGTTGAGAATTATACGAACCGAAGGATTCTATATGTAATTTCGGTAAAGTAATACTAACAAGATCGATGTAAAACTGTCGAAATCCCATGAATTCATGACTGTTTATATTTTGACGAACCAACGTCGCCATCTGTGATGTTTAGCTGCAACTAAATTTTCCCCAGCCCAGACTAGAACCAAAATGGCGCCCACTCTCATATTTCGATCAATATACAATTATCGAAGGCTCTGATATGAGAATAGAAAAGGTCTGCGTAACTTTATGACGCGTTAGCCACGAAACAAGCCAGCATTCTCTTGCAATTGTTGGTGAAAGTATTTATCACATTTTAATATATACCACCTCTTAAGAGGATATGAAAGGCGCTGAGAAATTTAATCGACGTCGATAAATTGAAATTCATCTGTACCCTTTTTGGTGGGAATGTCGTTTTGAATATTATAGTGGGAACATAAGCTGGCGCGTCCAGTTACCGACATTTATATTTATGTCGATGTCTTTTACAGTCTAGATTGAGAATTATGCGAACTGAAGGATTCTACATGCCATTTCGGTAAAGTAATGCTAAAAAGATCGATGTAAATCTGTCGAAATCCCATGAATTCATGACTGTTTATATTTTGACGAACCAACGTCGCCATCTGTGACGTTTAGGTGGAACTAAATTTTCCCTCTAAAAACACACGATAGGCGCAGGACAATTTCTATGAAAAAATTTAGAAATGTCTATACACAATTTAAAAAAAAATAAAAATTCAAGGGTGTGAGGACTTTCTTTATAGTTTCCATATTCACATTATAAAGTTTGAAACGATTCGGTACACCCAGTTTGAAAAAAAAAAACCATAAACGAAACCTCTTTGACTGTTCATATCCTCTTAAGGGAGTGTGAAAGTGCAAACCGAAAGCTCTATCATTAATTACACTTTTCTACAAATTGAGTGTACCGAATCGTCTCAAACTTACCAACGTGAACATGGAGGCTATAAGGAATGTCCTGACACCGACAAAATTTCATTTATATAAAAAAATGTTGAAAATATCTATAAACAAATTTAAACAAAATAGAAATTTCAAGAGATTCAAAATCTTCCTTAAAGCCTTCACATTTACGTTGTGTGGGTTAAAACAATTCGGTGCAGCTAGTTCGGAGAAAAGTTTCATAAACGAAACCTCTTTGACTTAACTTTCACATTGCCTTTAAGGGGATGTGAAAGTGGAAACCGAAAGATCTATCATTAATTACACCTTTCTACAAATTGAGTGTACCGAATCGTTTCAAACTTTCCAACGTGAACATGGAGACTATAAGGAAGGTCTTCACGCCCACGAAATTTCATTTTATATGGAAAAATTTAGAAATGTCTATACACAATTTAAATAAAATTGAAAATTCAAGGGTGTGAGGATTTTCTTTATAGTTTCCATATTCACATTGTAAAGTTTGAAACGATTCGGTACACCCAGTTTGAAAAAAAAACTTCATAAACGAAACCTCTTTGACTGTTCATATCCTCTTAAGGGGATGTGAAAGTGGCAACCTAAAGCTCTATCATTGATTACACTTTTCTCTGAATTGAGTGTGCCGAATCGTTTCAAACTTACCAACGTGAACATGGAGGCTATACGAAATGTCCTGACACCAACAAAATTTCATTTTAATAAAAAAATGGTGTAAATATCTATAAAAAAATATTAAAAAAATAGAAATTTCAAGGGATTCAGGATCTCCCTTAAAGCCTTCACATTTACGTTGTATGGGTTAAAACGATTCGGTACAGTTCGGAGAAAAGTTTCATAAACGAGACCTCTTTGAGTTAACTTTCACAAGACCTTAAGAAATTTTTAAGAAAATATTTTTCAATTATTTTCAGTGTCGAAGCGTCATCGTTTAAGGTTACCCCTGGAGCATACCGGAGTCCTTTCAAACCCGATTATGAGAAGAAACTGTATACAGTAAAGGCGATTCACCCTCACGAGAAGTTCGACAAAAACACATATGACAACGACATTGGTTTATTGGAGCTCGAAAATCCGGTGGCTTTAAACAGCGAAATGCAATTGATCTGCTTGCCGTCCTCGGGTGAGTGAAATCCAAATTACGCTAAAAAGAAATTCTGGTTAAGGTGAAGTAAAACCTCTCTCAAATCAGTCGATTCGTATACAACAATTTTTTTAAAGGGTATTAGACCAAACTGTCCGAAACTTTGACACATCACTCCTGATCATCTAAGAATTGTCCTGACACGTTCAAAATTTGGATTTTTGGAAAGAATTTTTTAACTTAGCCCAGACCAGAACCAAAATGGTGTCGCGCTCTCACATTTCGATCGATATACAATTGTCGAAGGCTCTGATATGAGAATTGAAAGGGTCAGGACAATTTTACGACAATTTAGAACACTCTGGTAATCGATAAACTCGCATTTGAACGGGATAAAGGCAACAAATGTGTTGTATGCGCTTCTATGACTCTGATCGTCTAAGAATTGTCCTGACACATTCAAAATTTGGATTTTTTTTTTTTAATTTTTCAACTCAGCCCAGATCAGAACCAAAATGGCGACGAGCTCTCATATTTCGATCAATATACAATTATCGAAGGCTCTGATATGAGAATAGAAAAGGTCAGGACAATTTTACGAGAATTTAGAACACTCTGGTAATCGATAAACTCGCATTTGAACGGGATAAAGGCAAAAAAAAGTGTCTTATGCGCTTCTATGCTAAAACGATGGAAATATGACGTCTCGGAATGAAAATTTAATTGCCCTGGAAATCACAGATGGCGCAGGGGGTCCCTCCGCAGTCAATTAGGGCCTCAAAAACAATGAATCCATGAGATTTCTGGAGTTTTACTTGGATTTTTTTATAATTATTGTACAAAAACGACATATGGAGTATGCCATGTAGTACAATACCCAATATAATTCGACCCAGCTGTGAATATAAAAACGAACGTCGGCAACGTAGGCATTCAGAAAAATCTTCTTTATCGACGTCGATCAAGTTCCTTATTATGTTTTACTTCACCTTAAGATTGATGAATGACATCAAGCTCTCATATTTCGATCGATTTCGAATTCTTAAAGGCTCTGATATGAGAATCAAAAGGGTCAGGGCAATTTTACGACAATTTAGAACACTCTGGTAATCGATAAACTCACATTTGAACGGGATAAAGGCAAAAAAAGTATTGAATGCGCTTCTTTGCTAAAACGATGGTAATACGAGGTCTCGGAGTGAAAATTTAATTGACCTGGAAATCACAGATGGCGCAGGGGGTCCCTCTGCAGTCAATTAGGGCTCCAGAAAGCAAGAATCCAGAGGATTTCTTGAGTTTTACTTCTCTCTCTTTATAATTATTGCACGAAAACGACAGGTGGAGTATGCCATTTGGTACAATACCCAATATAATTCGACCCAGCTGTCAATATAAAAACGAACGTCGGCAACGTAGCCATTCAGAAAAATCTTTATCGACGTCGATCGAGTTTCTTAATATGTTTTACTTCACCTTAAGATTGATGAATGACATCAAGCTCTCATATTTCGATCGATTTCGAATTCTTGAAGGCTCTAATATGAGAAACGAAAGGGTCAGGACAATTTTGCGACAATTCAGAACACTCTGGTAATCGATAAACTCGCATTTCAACGGGATAAAGGCAAAAAAAGTGTTGTATGCGCTTTTATGCTAAAACGACGGGAATATGAGGTCTCGGAGTGAAAATTTAATTGACCTGGAAATCACAGATGGCGCAGGGTGTCCCTCTGCAGTCAATTAGGGCCCCAGAAAGCACGAATTCAGAGGATTTCTGGAGTTTCACTTCGATTTCTTGATATTTTTTGTACGAAAACGACAGGTGGAGTATGCCATTTGGTACAATACCCAATATAATTCGACACAGCTGTCAATATAAAAACGAACGTCGGCAACGTAGGCATTTAGAAAAATCTTTTTCTTTGGAGTGTAGGAAAAAAAATACGGAAGATCTCCCCTGGTGTAATAGTATATTGTTGGGGATAATATTTCGTAAATTTTAGAAAAATCTGCATTCGGAATGAGAACAGAGACAATCTTGGAGAAACATAGCAATGCCATAAACAATGAAAATTTTTCAAATTTCAGACAATGTTGATTACTCCGGAACGGTTGGAACCGCTCTGGGATGGGGCAGAGTACAGAAAAACGAAACTGCAGGTTTAATACCTTTACAAAAGGTAGACGTCCCCATTATGTCAAAGGAGGAATGTCTTAAGACTGATTATACTAATCAGGACATTACGGAGAACATGTTCTGCGCGGGATACCCGGAGGGAGGAAAGGACGCTTGCAATGTGAGTAAACATTTTCCCTGATCATTTACTAGTAAATAAAAAAAGATATTTAGAACATTAAGGTGAAGTGAAACCCCCTTCAAATCAGTCGATTCGAATACAACACTTTTTTTAAAGGGTATTAGACCAAACTGGCCGAAACTTTGACACGTCACTTCTGATCATCTAAGAATTGTCCTGACACATTCAAAATTTGGATTTTTGAAAAGAATTTTTTAACTCAGCCCAGACCAGAACCAAAATGGCGTCGAGCTCTCATATTTCGATCGATATACAATTATCGAAGGCTCTGATATGAGAATCGAAAGGGTCAGGACAATTGTACGACAATTTAGAACACTCTGGTAATCGATACACTCGCATTTGAACGGGATAAAGGCAAAAAAGTGTTGTATGCGCTTCTATGCCAAAACGATGGGAATACGAGGTCTTGGAGTGAAAATTTAATTGACCTGGACATCACAGATGGCGCAGAGGGTCTCTCTGCAGTCAATTAGGGCCCCAGAAAGCATGAATCCAGTGGATTTCTGGAGTTTTACTTCGATTTCTTGATACTTCTTGTACGAAAACGACAGGTGGAGTATGCCATTTGGTATAATATCCAATATAATTCGACACATCTGTCAATATAAGAACGAACGTTGGCAACGTAGGCATCTATAAAATTCTTCTTTATCGACGTCGATCAAGTTCCTCGACGTGTTTCACCTCACCTTAAGGTGAAGTGAAACCCCCTTCAAATCCGTCAATTTCGAATACAACACTTTTTTTTAAGGGTATTGGACGAAACTGTCCGAAACTTTGACACATCGCTCCTGATCATCTAAGAATTGTCCTGACACATTAAAAATTTGGATTTTTTAAAAAATTTGTTAACTTAGCCCAGACCAGAACCAAAATGGCCTTGAGCTCTCATATTTCGATCGATATACAATTATCAAACGCTCTGATATGAGAATCGAAAGGGTCAGGACAATTTTACGACAATTTAGAACACTCTGGTAATCGATAAACTCGCATTTGAACGGGATAAAGGCAAAAAAAGTGTTGTATGCGCTTCTATGCCAAAACGATGGGAATACGAGGTCTCGGAGTGAAAATTTAATTGACCTGGAAATCACAGATGGCGCAGGGGGTCCCTCTGCAGTCAATTAGGGCCCCAGAAGGCATTAATCCAGAGGATTTCTGGAGTTTTACTTAGATTTCTTTATAATTATTGTACGAAAAGGACAGGTAGAGTGTGCTATTTGATACAATACCCAATATAATTTGACACAGCTGTCAATATAAAAACGAACGTCGGCAACGTAGGCATTTAGAAAGATCTTCTTTATCGACGTCGATCAAGTTCCTCGTCGGGTTTCACTTCACCTTAAGGTGATATGAAAGAGTCAGCCTGTGTATCATTATTTCTCCTGCAGCGACTGCAACAGTTACCATCTCGTTGTAAGACATTTTTAGTACTGAATATCTAGCGCTCAAGAAAAATTGCGGCAAGTTTGGAACTACTAGCAAGGAAGGTACCTGAGGTGTCCCCCTCCGATTTTGTTCATTTTTAAATATGTTATAGAGGACTGAAATCTAAGGGACCCGTGACCAAAGTATTCTCTGAATTGGGTGTATCGATTAGTTACAAATTTTGCCACGTGAATATGCAGGCTCTAAGGTAGGTCCTTGAAACTCGTGAAATATCATTTTTGATATAAAAATTATTTATTTATCATGGTCTAGAACCAACACGGCGTGGTCCGTGCAGGTTTTCGACGTTTTACGCTTCTTGAAGGCTTAGAATCGAGAATTAAGAGTTTCAGGACCTAGTTCGAATAATTTAGAACACTAGAGAAATGGAATATTGCAGAATCAGATGGGGAAATATGGAAAATAGATTCAACAACAGTTACAAGAGAACGCTGGCTTGTCCCGTGGCTAAAACGTGTTCTTAGAGCAAAAATTTAGTTCCAGCTAAACGTCACAGATGGCGCCATTGGTTCATTAGAGTAGCAAAAGTCACGAATCCACGGGAACTCAAATTTTGCATCGATCTTTTTATCATTATTCTACCGAAATGACATATGGAACCCTTCATTTCGTATAATTCTCAACACGGAATGTAAGTCTTCATTATAAATATAAACATCGGTAACGCGCCAGCTTATGTTCCCACTTGAGTGTTTAAATTGGCGTTATCACCAAAATGGGTGTAAATAAATTTAAATTTATCGACGTAGATTAAATTTCTCAGCGCCTTTCATATCATCTTAGTAATTCGCTCTACAATATTTCAACAATTTATTTTCTGTATCGTTCTCAGGGCGACAGTGGCGGACCTCTTCAAGTCCTGCGAGAATATAACAGCTACGAACTGGCGGGTAAGATTTCCGGGAATATTTTCCATCCCCGAGGAGACATTTTCTGATATTCTTTCTTCTCCAGGAATCATCTCTTGGGGCAGAGGTTGTGGCGATGCAGGCAACCCAGGCGTGTACACCAAAATGACGAATTATTTGTACTGGCTGAGGGAATACATAACCGACGAGTGTCCATGCAGACCCCATCCGACCAACACAGGTCTTTGACATCTTTGAACACAGTAATAACAGAGATGAGCGGGGAAATGTCTCTCGATATTGTTTGAAAGGGTGGTACGGTCCCCAGCGCCCTCTACGCCTTTACCCCTCTGTAAAAATTGGAACTTCTTTGAAAGGGGGAAACCTTCGTGGTCGGTAAAACAGGGTATACGTAGGTGCGTGTCGTAATCTCAATCATCCACTCATAACACCTTTTTTCGCATCCGTAGTCTTCTTTCCCAGCCTACGTTGACCCTGAAATTGAAAACGATGTTTCCCGCCATTATTTAAAAGGGAACGACCCCCTGGCGCTCCCTACGCCCGTCGCCCTCTGCAAAAATTGAAAGTACTTTCAAAGGGGGGAAACCTTCATGGTCGATAAAACAGGGTATATGTGGGTGCGTGTCGTAATCTCAATCTTCCACTCATAACAACTTTATTTGGCATTCGTAGTCTTCTTTCCTAGCCTATGTTGACCCTGATACTAAAAACGATGTTTCCCGCCATTGCTTGAAATGGAGGCACGGACCCCAGCGCCCTCTACGCCTTTTACCCCTCTGTAAAAATTGGAACTACTTTGAAAGGGGGAACTCTTCGTGGTCGGTAAAACAGGGTATACGCGGGTGCGTGTCGTAATCTCAATCATCCACTCATGACAACTCACAATTTTATTTCGCATTCGTAGTCTTCTTTCCCAGCCTACGTTGACCCTGAAATTGAAAACGATGTTTTCCGCCATTATTTAAAAGGGAACGACCCCCTGACGCCCCCTACGCCCGTCGACCTCTGCAAAAATTGAAACTACTTTGAAAGGGGGAAACCTTCGTGGTCGGTAAAACAGGGTATACGTAGGTGCGTGTCGTAATCTCAATCATCCACTCATAACACCTTTTTTCGCGTTCGTAGTCTTCTTTCTCAGCCTACGTTGACCCTGAAATTGAAAACGATGTTTCCCGCCATTATTTAAAAGGGAACGACACCCTGGCGCCCCCTACGTCCGTCGCCCTCTGCAAAAATTGAAACTACTTTCAAAGGGGGAATCTTCGTGGTCGATAAAACAGGGTATATGTGGGTGCGTGTCGTAATCTCAATCTTCCACGCATAACACCTTTTTTGGCATTCGTATTCTTCTTTCCCAACCTACATTGACCCTCATACTAAAAACGATGATGTTCCCCGCCATTGTTTGAGAGGGAAGCACGGTCCCCAGCGCCATCTACGCCTTTTACCCCTCTATAAAAATTGGAACTTCTTTCAAAGGGGGAAACCTTCGTGGTCGGTAAAACAGGGTATACGTGAGTGTGCGTCGTAATCACAATCGTCCACGCTAAACAACTTTATTTGGTATTCGTAGTCTATTTGCCAACCTACATTGATCCTGATACTAAAAACGAAAAGCCGATAACTTCATTTTATAGACACTGTGCTGTATTTGAGATCTGCAGACGGGTTTTTCATTACCGATGGAGAATATTTCGCCCTTTGAAAGCAGTTCCACGGCGCTAGTGAGTTGTGCCTCCTTTTCGACAATGGCGTGAAACATATCCTGGCTCATCTCTGGTAATAAGTAAAAATTAGAGCCACGATATTGGGCGTTTGTTATGTATTTGATAATATTTATGAACCTCCGAGAGGTGCCGAGATCTGTTACTAATAAATGCACGTTTAAATTTTATTGAATTCCTCTCATTATCCCTAATCATTAAGGTGAAATGAAACACGTCGAGGAACTTGATCGATGTCGGTAAAAAAGATTCTTCTAAATGCCTACGTTACCGACGTTGGTTTTTATATTGACACCTATGTCGAATTATCTTGAGTATTCTACTAATGTTAGTTTTATCACGTTTGAAAGTTGCAAAGGAAATCCAACTGTACCGCGCCACGGATGACGTACAAGAGAGGAAATCGTTCTTGAACGTTACAGGACCGATATCCAAGAGTAAGAGTAAGAGAGAGTATGTCATCCTATTTGCGCATGTCCTACGTATGCCAAAATAATGGCCACGGTACAGTTTCGCGCACTTGGAATTTGGACACGTTACAATACGTACCAAGGAGTGAAAATATTTATAAAATCTTTCTCCAAACTGGGTGCACCAAATTATCTAAAACTTTAACACGTGACTATGGAGGCTTTGAGGAAGAACGCGCTGCCCTTGAAATTTTATTTTTTGAAAAAAATACCTTTTTTGGTTCTTGTCCGAGATAAATAGAAAATGTTTCTCGAAAAAAGAAATTTCACGAGCAGCGCGTTATTCCTTAGGGCCTCCATAATCACGGGTTAAAGTTTCAGATAATTCTGTGCACCCAGATTGTAGAAAATTGTCATAAATATTTTGACTTTTTCTTACATACATGTCACACTTTCATACCACCTTAAGTCGCGTTTGAATTCGTCAAATGTTACATCTAGTACGTACCAGTGTCGTACAAATTCTCCCCACTGCTGCCTCTGCGCATGCGCCGAAAATAGTAGGAAAAGAAGCTTCGATGACGTCACTTATTTACTTCCCGCCATAATGGAATTCCGTTTATTCGTTCGAATTTCTTGGCACCATCTAGATTTTGTCAATTTCGAAAATATTAACGATCATTTATTTCTACATATAATTATCTTAATCGCTTTTTCGAGTGCATTATCGGTGCAATATGATAACAGCCACACAATAGCACTTGACTGACTTCGACAAATATTGTATAACCAGGAAACCGATATTTTTGAGGTTAACACCGAACATTTTCTACAATAATTGGAAAAATTAGTCGAGAGGCGTACCTAATAGCTTAATACAACACCTGCCATTGTTAACATGAAATAACTAGGCTCTCCTTGAAATTACAAGTTATAGTATTCGACGCCGACATAGATATAACGAGTACCATTCGAACTGTAATAAAATTTCATTTGAAATCCGCGCGCAATTGCCGACCCTCTTATGCGCATGCGCGTAGTATGTATAGTAAGAACTGTTAGAATCCCAAGTATCAAGGATGTAATGTAATAGGTTATGTATACTACGTTTTAAGGTTATGTGAAAGAGGCGACATGGAGGTCTTGTTTATGAAACTTTTCTCTGAATAGTGTGTCGAACCGTTTCAGTTTTCATCGTGAATATAGAGGCTACAAGGAAGGTTCTGATCCCTATGAAATTGCATTTTTTAAAATTTGTTTATAGGCATTTTTTTAATTATTATGAAACATGAAATTTCATTAGTGTCGGGACCTTTCATATAGCCTCCACATTCACATTGTAAACTTTGACACGATTCGACACACTCTGTTCAGAGAAAAGTTTCATAAACGACTAACCCCTTAATAGCTGGTGATATAAAGTCTCGTTTATGAAACTTTTCTCTGAACAGAGTGTGTGGAATCGTTTCAAAGTTTACAATGTGAATGCGGAGGCTATAAGAAAGGTCCCGACACTCATGAAATTTCATTTTTTACAAAAAATGTTGACAATATAAACAAATTTTGACAACATTTTTATTTCATTGGTGTCGAAACCTATAAGGAAGGTCCTGAAAGTCATAAACTTGAAATTTTTCCAAAATTTGTTCATAGATATTCTGAAAATTTGTTATAAAAAATGAAGTTTCATGAGTGTCAGGATCTTCCTTATACCCTCCATATTTATGTTGTCAAATTTGAAACGATTCGGTACACCCAGTTCGAAGAAGAGTTTCATAAACGACTAACCCAGTAATATCTTCCGACACAAAGGTCTCGTTTATGAAACTTTCGCTGAACAGTGTGTGTGGAATCGTTTCAAAGTTTACAATGTGAATGTGGAGGCTATAAGAAAGGTCCCGACACTCATGAAATTTCATTTTTTACAAAAAATGTTGACAATATAAACAAATTTTGACAAAATTATTATTTCATAGCTGTCGAAACCTTCCTCATAGCCTCCATATTCATGTTGTCAAATTTGAAACGATTCGGTAGATTCGTTTCAGAGAAAAGTTTCATAAAAGTCTGACCTCTAGAATGCCAGTTTCGCACCGCCTTAAAGCGAATTCGGACGCGGTCTTAGCCTGAATCAAAGAATTCCGAAGTCTCCATAGAAGCCCAGAAGGATACGGACGTTCGATGCTCGATAAATAGTACGTTAGCCAACAGATGGCGGCGCTGTAATCATCTCTCCATCTCTCTTAATCTTACGGCGATATATAGCGAATTTGCATTCTTTCTTTATCTTACACACAATACTCGGCTTTCTATATGCGTCTCTCTTCCTCCCGTATGTGAGATATCGTTGACTAACACATGCGATCTCTCTTTTACCCCACTTCCGATTTGTTAGCCATAGTACGTCAGCCAACAGATGGCGGCGCTGTAATCATCTCTCCGTCTCTCTTAATCTTACGGCGATATATAGATAATTTGCATTCTTTCTTTGTCTTACACACAATACTCGGCTTTCTATATGCGTCTCTCTTCCTCCCGTATGTGAGATATCGTTGACTAACACATGCGATCTCTCTTTTACCCCCACTTCTAGTTTGTTAGCCAAATTTTACAGCATCAAGCGCTAACATAGGATCTGGGCTTCTATCGGACTTCTGAATTCTTATCCTGAATACTCCGTAGAGTCGCTGGAATGTTTCGTCACGAATACAGGTAGATCACGGAAAGAAGACCGACATGGACTCGGATCACCCGCGACTGGTGGCGCTCGCTACGGCAGATTCTCTAACAATGTACAGCGATGTCATCGACTCCCTACGACCTCCTCATCTCGTCTCGCTCTTGTATCACAGACGTTTTTTATTCGTTCGTCGAATCGCCTGGTGCAGTCCGACCGAGAAGCACGCATTACACAAGAACCCCTACAGACTAAGGTCCTTACATCTCACTTTTAGGGTTAAGAGCCGTATTTTAGAGCACCGATAAAAGCGTCCTCCTCGTGTCTCGCCGTTAAACCACTTTTATAGAGAATCCTTAAGAGGAGCCATAAAAGACGTATTTTAGCAGCAATACCTCTTCATACCCCCTTTTAAGT